TCTCTGTTGGATTTCCTTCCCACTTCGATCACCACTGAACAATGGCTAGTGTTCCCTGTGCTATATAGTAGATTCTCATTAGTTTTCTGTTTTATACATGAGTATATGTATATTAATCCCATTCCCCCAATTCATCCCACCCTTTCTTCTCTCTTCTTGGTGACCATAAATTTGTTCTCTGCTTCTGTGTCCATAGTCCTGTTTGGCAAATGAGATCATCTGTATCATTTTCTAGGTTCCACATATATGCATTAATAAACGATATTTGTTTTTCTCTTTCTGACTCACTTCATTCTGTATGGCAGTCTCTAGGTCTGTCCCTGTCTCTACAACTCACCCCCAGCCTCCTTTAAAGGCTACCTTAATCCTTCTGTGTCTGGGTGCCCAGGGACATCTTATATGTGCTGATGAGTTATTCCATCTGCTGGTTACCATGAAGAGTCTTCTCTATTTTTGTCTCTTGCTTGGTCACATCCTCTTTTCCTAAAGTCCCTGAGAAGGCCTCATCATTGCTGGTTATAACTCCTGTAAGAAAGAATCCTAATTCTGTGTATCTGGAGGCATCACTCAGAGCTCTCCAGGCTGTCAGCCCTTGAGTAGAAGAGACAATGTTCCTTCAGGTCACACTCTGTAGCTGGGGTCCTAAGCCATGTTGCTCATATACTTTCTCCACATCACTTCTAATACTGCTTTATTGCTTAGAAACTGGGAACTTGTCTTGAAGCAGGGGCATATAATACTACTCTCTGTTGCTGGTTGCTCTGCGTCCATTCTTTACCCAGTTTGATGGAAAACAGTATAACAGAAACAATGCTAATATCCTCATTCTCGAGCCAAGGAGCAAAATGGATTCAAATGGATGCAAGTGGATACGTATGGCCTCAGGGAATTTCCACATCATTGTATTTACCTGCGTATGTCTCTTCCTCTCAAGTTAGTGGGAGACCCAGGTTTGATCCCTGGGTCAGGAAGATCCCCTGGAGAAGGGAATGGCAACCCACTCCAGTACTCTTGCCTAGAGAATTCCATGGACAGAGGAACCTGGTGGGCTACAGTCCATGGGGTTGCAAAGAGTTGGATACAACTGAGCGACTGACACACACAACTTTGAAGTAGTTACATGAGTGTCTGTTTAACATTTGAATTTCTCACACTGAAAAATAGTATTTTGAATATGAAGGTGATTTACTGTTTTAAATTTTATTAGTATGTATATATGCCAGTATGAAGTGTGTGACTATAAATCACATACACAGTAGTAGTAATATAAGGGGTGTGTGTGGGTTTATGGCACAAAGTAATATGATGCATATGTGAGTAAGTTGTAAGAACAAACTGAACAGTAGTGTGATTGATGCACATATGTATATATTTGTGTATGCAAGTAAATGTGTGTCAGAGTAGCGTAATGTATGTGTGTATGTATATATGAATTCAACACAGTGGTGTGTCTGAATCAGAGTGATATAGTTTGTGTGTGTATAAGAACTGGGGGCAAGCAAGCATGTGTGCCTTTGTATGTTTGTATATGTTTCAGACACATAGTATAAGGTGACTGTGTATTTCTGTGTGTGTGAGAGAGAAACAGAGTAGTATAATTGGGAAAATACAGGATAAATAAAGCATATTGATTCCGAAATGATAACACCTCCATGACTTTGTATAAATCACATAACTTTTCTAGGCACCACTAGTAAAATACAAGATTTTTACTAGATCAAACTATAGTCCTTTATGATTCTAAAATTTGATGGTTAGTGCAGTCACCATCTGAAACTACTTAGCCTGTTCCATCACTGTGTGAGTTATTCTGTCTGTAATGACATTTATAACTGACTGTTCTGCATTTAGAATCTCTTGTTATATCTTTGTTTATTAGCTTCTGTGGGAGAGAGACATAACTCTTTAATTTTCATGGTTATTTTCCTGAACTATGCCCCAAATGATCCCTGTGTGATTTTTTTTTTTTTAATAATTAAGGGAATTCAACACTTCTTTGGATGTACTATTAAAAAAAAAAAACACCAAGTTTTGTAAATCTTTGCATTAACAGAAGGAAAACCTTGCAGCAGGCTGTCTCATCTTGTTAAGGTCACCTGGCTCTATAATACCTAACTAAAGTGATTGAGAGAGTGAAAGCCTTGAAGTCAGTATTCATCTTTGTAGACAGTACATAGATAATACTTGCCACACGCTACATATTCGGCATGTATTTATAGAATGAACTTTATAGAATGAACAAATGATCCTACAGTAGAGGGCATTTTAATAATTCACTGTCACCTGTGTGCCCATGTGTTTTCTGATGACTCCTTTGTGATGTTTTGGTTGGAGCTGGTGGAGAGGTGTCACATCGTCATGGCTGCAAGATGGCAGTGCTGTTGAGATGCTACTGGTGACTGACAGAGGGGAGAGGAATTGAGGGGCAGTGGGCGTAGAGTGTTAGTGCTTTTCTGTCTTTTTGGAGCGAGTTCCTGCACCCCTTTTAGAGGAACCGTCTTAAATCAGTGAACCACATTATTTCATTAGCTCGGTATCCATGGAGTCCTATGCGAGCTCTTCCTCTGGGCATAAATCTTGTGTCCACAGGGCACTGAAGCAGTTAATCTAAATGCTCTGTTTTAGAGTCAAAGTGAGTGCAGACCTAGCACTGAGTTATGATACTGGGATGTGAGCGGCTCCTGCTTTCCTTCTAGAATAGCCTCTTACTAGCCTGTATTTACTGAAAAGGGAAGTAAAAAAGCCCTGTAAGGGAACATGATAAACATTAAAAGAAAATTTGGTAATTGAATACAAAAGATCACCTTTTCCACTGCATGAAATACCTTGTGCTTTTTGTTTTTAATTTTGAAATCCGTTGGAGCATTCATCGCAAAAGCTTGCCGTGGTGGCAGAAAATGCCTTGTAGAGGACTTTAGTCAGCCTTGGTTGATTAGGTGTAGTGGTGATTAATTCTTACTTTGATACCTTGTCAGCCTTCTTATTTGTAGAAGACAAGTAAACATGAGAAATGGGGCTTTAAAAGTGTGGGTGATTATTAGTTATCACACACGTTCTTCAGGAAGCTACCTGGCCCTAAAAATGAATGAAATGAGAACGTGTTATGTAATACAAGCTTGATTCCCCAAGCAGTTCTGATGTCCTTAAAGTTGAGCCTGAAAAATACTAATCTGGCCTCCAGGTTGTTTCATCTTGGCTGTCAGTTTTTAGTAGCTCTTTTCATCCAGGCCTCCCTACAGCATTTGGAAATTTTGGTGTTAAGGTCTGACTCTAACCTCAGCAAAGAGACTTCTTCCAGAGTCAAAATGAAACCAAATATTCATATTAGGGGGCGCTGGGGAAAGGAACACTGCCTTCACTTCAGAAGCAGGCTGCAGGCGAGTTCCGCCAACTGGCCGGTTTGTGAGAACTAGTGAAGTCATCAGGCTGGAGCTATTTTCATATCCCGACACGGTGCTCCAAGGCAGCTGGAAGTGCTGCACAGAGGACGCTCGGAGAGCGAGCGCTTTGCAGAAGCAGAAAATTTGCCTGCTGACTGACAGCATCACCATTTCACACCGGCTGGGGCTCTGACATCTCCAGCAAGCACCAGGGCTTGTGAACAGCCCAGGCAGAAGGAGAACGGGAGCCTTTCTAGCCTTCCCAGGTTCTCTGAAGCGACGCCTCAATATCAAGGCACCAGGGCTGGCCGGCAGAGTCGGGGGCCCTGGGTAAGGAAGATGGTGGTGGCGTAAAGCTGGAGATGAAATCCTTTTCGTTTATAGAGCAGCAAGACATTTCTCTTTTTTTATACTTCTAAGTATTCAATTTTTAAGTTTAATTGGAGGATAATTACTTTACAATATTGTGATGGTTTCTGCCGTACATCAACATGAATCGCCCACAGGTATACATGTATTCCCCCCCTCCCACCTCCCTCCCCACCCCATCCCTCTGGGTTGTCCCAGAGCACTGACTTTGACTGCCCTGCTTCACGCATTGAGCTCACACTGGTCACCTGTTTTACACACGATAATGTACATGTCTCAGTGCTGTTCTGTCAAATCATTCCACCATCGCCTTCTCCCACTGAGTCCAAGTCTGTTCTTCACGGCAAGACAGATTTCTATTTTCTTTTTCCTTTTTTTTTAAACTCAGAAAGGTCAGAAATGCAAAGCCTGCCCTTTCTGCTGGCATAGTCCTGTAGGGGTTTATGAGCAAAGTAAAGGAAGTGGGATGTGAACTATGTATAATTTATTAGCATATTGAAAACAAATTGAATACCGTGCTGGACACTAAAGGACCGCAGAACTTCCCCAACATGGGAGAAAGTACTGTTCCATTGTATCTCTGAAACCCTTAAGAAAAAGATCTATCACTTGTAAACAATTTTTTTTTTGGTATAACCTGAACTGTATTTAAATTTTCTGATTCTGAACTCTGCCTTATGGGCCCCCACACTGAAGATCCTTCAGAAAAGCATAAGTGAATATTTGATTTGAGAATCACCTACCGGATGCTGTTTTAACCACTTCTAAAATGGTCTAAAAGTGTATGCAGAGCTCAGGCCCTTCGGAGACTTAGAAAAAGTCCAGCGACCTCAACCAAATGGAGATAAATTTAGAGATAATGAGATACTAAGTTTGAGCATGAGAAATTCGCTCCTTTTCAGCTTCACTGATGCAAGTATTTTCAATTCAAAAAGCAAGAGGTGTCCTCTCATAAGTAGTTTCCTACAATAGAAGTGAATCAAAGCAGACACTCTTTAGCATGAGTGCACTAGGGGTCATGGCTGCGCACGCTGCCATGATTCAACCCTGTTGAGCAATGAGACGTCAGAGACAGGAAGCCGCCTTGTTTATTAGAAGTAGGGTAACCACAGTCTCAGCCAACTGAGGAAGGTTCTGCTGGCACTTTCATTCTGAATAGCACACCCTAGTGCAAGGAAAAAAAAAGCCGAAGTGTTTGGTATAGGTGTTTATATACGACTAAAGAGCTCTTGTTTACTTCTTAATTTTTTATTTAATTAAAAGAGCACAATCCTTACATTTCTTATTCAGTAACAGTTAACATTTAGTAGGGCTCTGATATAAGTCAAGGATGAGAGGGCATGGCCTGGATTTCTGCAAATTTGAAGGTAATGAAAGCTTTGTTTAGGTGGGTGCTTTCTTCAAACTGTTCTAGAAGACATGTTTTCAGAGATTCCACCATGTTTCAACAGGAAAAAGATCATTATTGCCTTAGGATTTCTGGGATGGTGTGGGAGGAGTTGCAGAATAATTTTCTATTATTCGATAGAACTGGGGGCGTCATTTGGAACATTCTCAATTACAGATGAAGAAACTAAGACCCCGAAGTGTTGCTTTCGTAAAATCTCACTATCTAAGAAGTATTAGTGGAAAGTAGATGAATGAATCGAATTGAGAGTTACTTTATGTTCAGTATTAGACTTGCTGTTTGGGGGAAAACTAAGAAATGCTTGTAGTAAAGCTTTCCTGGCTTTAATTTATTCTTTCTCTGATACTTAAAGAAACTTACAGAAAATGAAATTTGGTATAGGTTTTTAAAAGCCAGGCTTGAAATCTGACTTCCCCTTTGTTGCTGGGACCCTGGGGAAGTGACTTATATTTGGGTCCTCAGTTTGCTCATTTGTAAAATAAACTTAATAAAAGAACCTACCTAAAAGGATTGTTACGACATTTTGAAAAAACAGATCTGAAATGCCTTAGTGTGGTGTCTGCTATGTAGAAAGAGCAAAGTAAACATGGCCTATTCAAATGATGACTTAATAATGACTTATAATGTTATTTTGTTTTATAATACCTCAAGGCCCTCGTTTAAAAGATTCATCTTCATTTCCATCTGAGTACTAGTCCCCACAAGGGACCAAGGTTTACATTTACCCTCACCCCTGTATATTGGAAAAATAATTTTCTTACTGCTGAGCTGAAATGAATACTCCATCAGGAATAAAATTCAAGAAGTTAACACCTGTAAAGAGAGGTCAGTTGAACATTTCAAGAGGAGATCATAGGAACACCCCCAAGTTCATAATGACAGTTTTCATTCAAGGTCATTTTATATATTAAGGTCTCCTCTTTATTGCTTCTACTTCTTAGTCTTGACTGTATATGGTATGCATTTTTATATGTGATTTTTGCATATATTAATATTATTTAAATGATGATGAAGTTATGAGAAGTGTTTCTTTGTGCCTGTTTTATGGATGAGAAAGCTGAAGCTTTGAGAAACTTGTTAAAAAGTGGTTGCATTAACTTTGCTTCATTTTTTGTTTTTTTCCTGTGTCTCCATCTCTCTTTTCATCTGGTTCTTTTCCTCACTGTACTTCTTGACTTCCTTCCTTTTTACCTTTCATCTTATTCTCCCTGTGTATGTTATTTTAGTCTTTCTCATTTTATTCTTCCCTTATTTTCCCTCATTCCTCATAGGTATAACAAAAATAACTTTTAAGAGTTGTTGTATCTAATGAGTTTTGAATTTCACACCCACTTTGAAAGGAGAGAATACATTATTTTTTTCTTAATAAAGCTGTTGAATTAAGTTATACTTTGTGGCCAGCTGTTTAACTCATCTCCCTTGCATGTCCATGGCAAGCTGACAGGAAAAGTAGTTTGTTACTCAAGTTTAAGAGATGAAGGCCACTCATGGATATATATATCTTGAAAATCTTCTTTGTCACTGATAGATAATTTGGCTTGTACTAACAGAATGCTCTGGTTTTAAAAGACATTGTATAGTAGCTTCTATTTCATTTGGTTTAAATCTGTCTTCTTAGAGGGCAAAACCTGCTGTAACCTATTTTTTGAGAGTCCAGTGAGTTCAGTTGGGCCCTTTTTGAAAATAATGGGCGGAGGTCAGAGCCCCCTCCGGAGCCTGGGACTGGGCAGAGGCTGGGGACAGTGGGCCTGCTGCCCTGCTGTGTCGCTCCATCTCGAACTGACTGTCCCATCGCCCTTGGCACCTCCCCAGTTATGCTCTCAACCCCTTGCCCTTCCTTTTTATTAGAAGCCCCTTTAGAGTTAGCTTTGTGAAGATAAGGGAAACTGAAAGACGTCCAGAAGCAAACAAAAGCTTGAAACGGAATACTAGACCATATTTAAAAAAATTCCCTTGTCAGGTTCCAACAGCTATGCCTGGCAGCCCATAGTTGACCTTAACCCTCCTTCTCTCATCCCTCAGTGGCTCCTAGTAACTTAAAAAAAAACAAAACAAAAACCAAACTTCTGAGCTCTTAAGTTATGCAGAGCAGTACAACTTTCTCTGACCCTCCTTTTCCTTATCTGAAAGTCATGAACCTTTTCTAACTCCAGGTCTTTCCCTTTCCCCTTTCTTTTAGAGGTCTCACAATGGAAGGAGGAGTAAGCGAATTTTTTTCCCACCAAGTTGAATTTCACCCTCTTTCCCTCCCAAGCAAGGCAGACATGACTTTTCAATATTTTTCCACTCTTCTTTTACAAGTAGAATTAAAGCAAAACAAATTATGGTAATCTTGGCTTTTTGGTTGAGTAGATTTTGGATGAGTTGAAGTTTACTGTAACTTTGAAATAACATTTTTCAGTTTGACTGTAGAGTCGGGTAACACAATTTTCATTTTCACAGATTACTTTTCTGAGCCTGTTTGCAGACCAGAGCATGACAAACACATGAATAAGTTTCGCTTCTTTTCCCTGCGTAGGAAACTCTTCATGTTAAATAGGATTCGTACATACTCAGAGGGATATACTGCATAATTTTACACCTAGTGCCATAGAAGTTGGATTTCTTATTCATCACACACCATATGCAGTGTTATTAATCTTTACTGTAAGTAGAATGACAAGTGAGCAATAAAAACAGGCCTTAAAAACTACCAGCAAACATACAGGGAAAAAAAAAATCTAACAGATGCTTCAGAAAGAAGTGACAGTCAGTGAAATGTGGGTTACATGTATGTTGCATAACTGATGTCTTGGTGTGTGCCCTCAATATGGTTCATGGATTTCACTTCAAATTCTAGCAGGGGCTCCATGCTGTTCTCCTTGTTTTCCTCCATACCCGTCTCTTCCTTCTTCCCCTGGACTTCCCACACCTCTTACATCCTATTACAGGCATCTTCTCTGGGTGGGGACTGCTTGACCTCTTCCTCTTCCTTTTTACTCTTCAGGCAGGTGTTGCGTTTGTCTGTATCCGTGGTCCCAAGCGTGTCCGTCTTCCCTGAACTGGGTTGAGAATCCCTTTTAAGCCTCACTTAACACTTGATGCTTCCAGTCACTGAGTCCTCTGCTTTCCTTGCCCATCTGTACAACCCACTGTTGCTTGTTGGGCCCATTCCTGAGTCTTCCTGCGCCACCCTTTATCCTGGTCCTGGGCTTGGTGCGTTATAGCCCTTGCTTCCTGGCTGTCTGTTGGTGGGAACAACTGTGTTTGGGGTAGGTTAGTGCTGCTTTTTCTTCTGTCATCATTGCTTACCCATATCCTACTCTGTTAAATGTAAATCTCTCTTTGGATGTGTCTTGGCTGTTTCTTGTGCTGAGCCACAGTGCACTCTGCCTGCAAAGAAGTTAAGACCAGCCCAAAGGCTGAAAGGCCTATCATACTGCCCTGGGGAGTAGGTTAAAGAATCTTGATCGTGCCTGCAATTTGTTTGCAAACTCCAGAGATAAGCAGCATCTGTGCACATTGATACAGAAACCATACCTACTGGGGTAAACCTTGTTGCTTTCTGTGACATCTTGTAAAGAACCAGGAAAAAACAGTTTACAAGTATCCTCAGATACTTTGATGGCAAAGTAAATGCCTTGCATTGATTTGTTATTGTGGTCCATTAACACAAGCACCATGTATATTTTCTTCTTCTAATAAATTGCTTTGTAGCCAGTGTTTGCTTTTTTAAGTGACTAAAATGGATTTGAGAAGCAGTCTTAAATTTCCAACTTACTTGATGACTTGATGTTAAGACTACAAGGCATTTTGAGGAGGAAGTAAAGGGCAGATTTTGACTTCCTAAAACTTCCAATTAACTTTCGTTTGATTGTTTTTCTTGAGACAATTTTTGTCATGTTTTTTAAATATACAGTAAAGTCGTCAGTGATGTCAAGGTTTCCTGGGACATGAAGAGTTTCAGTCACTCTTATCCATCCCAGTAGATGCTCTTGAACAAAAAATTTAACTTCTCTTTCCCTGCCCATAAGATGTTAATTATTACAATTATTCCGCACTTTGTTCATAGCAATGTCATGATGCTTTGGAATAGATGTCATGCGTAAATATGAAGTACAGTGTAACAATGGGATTTTTATCTTCTTTAACATCAAATCTTTGCTCATTAATTTTTAATTAGGATAGCTGTGCTTTGAAGATGTTTAAGTTTGTGAGTCAGTCTTCTTAGTAAGATCATAGGGGTATTCCTTTTGCTTTTGTTTTTTTAGTTTTACAATTTTTATATAATTTTGGCAGGTAGTTGATTTACAGTGTTGTTTCAGTGGTACAGCAGAGTAAGTCAGTTACACATATGCATAGATCCATTCTTTTTCGGATTCTTTTCCCATATAGGTTATTACAGAGTACAGAGTCCAGTGTCCTGTGCTGGACAGTAGGTCCTCGTGTACTCCTTTTGTTTTCACTTTGGGAAATGAGGCATGAGCAGTTCTGTCAAGAATGGAAATTAACTCGGGGTTTTCCATTTTCTGGAGAGTCTAATGTAGTCAGGAAAGTATGTACTATGTTCAGAACACCAAAAAATGTGCATGAACAGGGAGGCGGCAGTACCGCTGCGAGAATGGCCCTGGGCTCTGACCTTGAAGCTGTCTCTCGTTAGCAGTGTGCTCCTGGGTACCTCCTGAGATGTTTTCTCATTTGTAAAATGAGTCATCTGAACCTGTCAATCCCAGATTTTGTTTGTGTTCTGTCCTCTTCCCCGCCCTTCATTGCTTGTGCCTTCTATCCCTGGGAGGTTTTGGACTTGGCCCCTGCAAGGGAGCTGATGTGGACCTCACTCAGCTCCTTCTCTGTGGCGCTGAAGTTGCTGATGAGAAAATGCCAGCTCCTTACAACAGGGCCCTGAACTCTTTTTTTTTATGTCCTGTATCGTGCATCAATTATTTCTGGCTAGAGCATCTAGGAGTCTAAGTGATCACT